TCGTTCCCGATCCCCCCCGTGACAAAGGCTCCTCCAAGCAACAGATTTCAAGGCCGGCATCGAAGCACCACCACAGGCCTCATGTTAAAAACTCCGGTGGCAAAACCGAGACCGAAGAAGAGAGGAGGCTTAGGAAGAAGAGGGAGCTAGAGAAACACAGACAAGAAGAGAAGCTTAGACATCAGCTGAAGAATTCTCACAAGTCTCAGATGCCCAAGGGACACACCGAGGAGAGGAAGCCTACGCCCCTTCTCACCACCGACAGGGTCGAGAATAGGCTAAAGAAACCAACCACCTTCATCTGCAAGCTCAAGTCAGTTTTCTTTCTTCTTGCTCTTTCAATTGCCCTTGCAACTCTTTCTTGCTCTTACAGCTCATAGTCTTTCTTCTTGCCTTTCTCCAAGGTTCCGGAATGAACTTCCTGACCCAACTGCACAGCTCAAGCTTATGACCATCAAGCGAGATAAAGATCAGTATGTTGCGAATTTCTCTACATGTGTGTTATTCTCCTTTTACTTCTTCTTAACCCGTTTTGATTCCCACTAGATTTACAAAGTATACTATCTCATCGCTGGAGAAACTATGGAAACCAACAATCTTTGTCGAGCCTGATCTTGGAATACCCTTGGATCTGCTTGACCTAAGTGTATACAAGTATGATCTCTCTCAAAAACTTATATTTTGTCTCAGCTCATCCATCTACTGGNGTACTTATTGTTGTATCGCTTGTCAGCCCACCCAAAGTGAAGATACCTCTTGCCCCTGAAGATGAAGAACTGTTGCGTGATGATGATGCTGTTACTCCTATTAAGAAAGATGGCATCCGGAGAAAAGAAAGGCCAACTGATAAAGGTGTTTCCTGGCTCGTGAAAACACAATACATTTCTTCCATTAATAATGAATCGGCAAGACAGGTATCAATCTTACTTGTTGGATAATTCTTCTGTCGTATATAACTTGTAAAGATAGTATCGATCCTTCTATGTTTTCCATGTCTAGTCTCTAACCGAGAAACAAGCAAAGGAATTGCGCGAGATGAAAGGAGGTATCAACATCTTGCAAAATCTTAACAATAGGTCTGGTGTTTTTCAATTTTTTTTTGTTTTTTCTTAGGAAAGTGAAACACTAAACCATGGTCTAATGGTTTCTGTTTATTGGTCTCTAGAGAGAGAAAAATCAAGGATATTGAAGCATCATTCGAGGCATGCAAATCTCGACCAGTTCATGCCACCAATAAAACCTTGCAGCCAGTTGAAGTTTTACCACTGTTGCCATACTTTGATAGGTTAGATGCTCTTTGTTGTCCACTTTTCAGACAATATTAAATCTGACGTGCCGAATCAGGCATATTTTATCCCGTTATAGCACTGCCGTTAGACACAATATTAAACCCTACGTTGCTCCATTTGTATATAGCTTGAAAGCTAACACTTCAGAGTGTATCTCTGTGTTGGCATTCTGGGAATGATCATCTGTTGTGGTAAACATGCAGGTATAATTTTCCAATAGAATAGTGTAATCAATCGAATGGGAAAGCCAGCTTTGTAACTATATAGCACTTAAGAGGGATGTTGGTCTTGAAATTTTCCTTTGTCTCTGCTCCATGTCCTGTCCAAATGTTTCTTTGCTAGAGTTTAGTGCATTGCTTTTTGGATGAAAATTCAGTAATAGTTTTCACTGAAATCGTAGCATATGCTAATCTATATGACTCTTCCTTTTTAATTTTCGACACAGGTACGAAGACCAGTTTGTAGTAGCGAACTTCGATAGTGCTCCTACAGCAGATTCTGAATTCTTTGGCAAGTTGAACCCTTCAATTCGGGATGAATATGAGTCACGGGTGAGTTATGTGTTGTATGTGAGAGACGTGGTGACCGTGGAAACCACATATCACTTCAGTTGCCACATAAGTGTAGTCAGAATGAGGATTGCGTCAACATGCTTTTTTATATTATAAACACATAAATTGACCTTTTTCTCATATTGATGGCGAGCTCTGACCTAAATCTTCACAGGCCATTTTGAAAAGCTATGTGGTTTCTGGATCAGATACTGCCAACCCAGAAAAATTTCTGGCATACATGGTTCCTTCCTTGGATGAGGTAGACATGCCTCTCCACGAGTTGATCTCTGTAAAACGAGTCTTGAAAAGTTCAATTTGATTGATGTGTTATCAATTCATGTTGATGTGCCAGTTGTCTAAGGATATGCATGATGAAAACGAGGATATCTCTTACACTTGGGTTCGCGAATACCACTGGGATGTATGTACCTTAGCCGGTGTGATTTGTAATATTTATTTCTTGTTTGGGTTGGAGATAGAAATAAATATGTTACCTGATGTTATAACAGATACCACCTGTACGTGGCCATGATGCAAACGATACATACCTGGTATCGTTCGATGATGGGACCGCTAGCTATCTGGTATTCCCTAAACTAATATCTGCATCACTTTTTG